CCCATTTTGAATGTGCTTACAAGAACTGCCAACGCGGTTCCATGTTGTTAGCTTGCCGTTACTCCTTTGATTATTACATTAGCACATTTATGATAGCTCTGTTAGTTCTCCCCCTTAACAACTCAGTATTTTGAATTTCTACCATGAGTAACATACAATTTTTGCCATTTCTTTAGGAGAGCACTTCCTTGGATTTCCGACTGACCCATGGAGCGAGTCAAATGGACAACTTACTGTTGTCACAGGATTGTACGTTCCAAGGTGCCGGTGGTGCAAGTCAAAAGTTTTCTCGCGTCAGCGCCGCTGATGAAAAGACGCCCGCATTTGATTCCGGCCTCATGAACGGTACAGATTTAGGTGATCTTAGTCTTTCTCAAGCCGTTGGTTCTGGAACTGTCGCTGGAGGAATCGGTACTGTTGGATCAGGCAGTGGTAGTGGTGGTGGTGCGCCGTTGTCTCAATTCTAGACCATATCACTGATACGCACGGTCTAAGCTGAGTTCCAGTCTGCTGCTACCACTGCTGTGCTTGGACGACTAGTGTCAGCTAGGTTGGAACCTACCGGGGATGGCTAGGCTTATGGTGAGCAGATGTTCATCATCAGCTATCACTCCGGACGGGGACTCACCTCGCAATCACGGAGGAGACGCGGAGGGAGAAATAGACAGACAGACAGAGAAACTGCGACCAGTGTTACTGACTCTTCTCACGTTACGGGCGGCGGTGCTGCAACCTGCTGGTACACGGGTCGATTGACTGCGATCACTCACTCGTGCGTGCGTGTGTTGCAATCGGACCTGCCAGTCCCACCAAGATTAAAGGCTACAGTGGGGAGAAGTTGCATCTCACATCTTCTTGTGCACCCGCCGGGAACCGGACTTTCCATTCCGTCCGTTCACACTGGCCCCATTGTGTCTGCTTTTTGCCTGTGCTTATATACGTGATGGTGTCCAAACTCTGTGTTCGAGATATTCGCTTTTGTCTCAGTCTATCTCCCTCAAAATCCTTTCTTTTGTCGTTGACTTTCATTTGTCTTCGCCATACTGTGTTCGCGCTGGTCTCCACGACAGACGTGTTCTACATGTGCTTTGTTCTCCTACCTATGTTAAACGTGAACTAACTGAGAGGTCGTTCTTTTGCGTTGTCTTTTGCTTTTGTATGTCTGATGGTCTGGTGGGTCTAGTAGATCTCATCAAAGTTTCGTCCGAAGCTTCTGTTGAAATCGCAATAAGAAAGGCGATATCGGTGGGATCGTGTCGTCCATGAGAAACTAGCCAATGTTGTTTGCCTTTAATATCCACCATTCTACGATCTCAATCGACCAAACATGACTAGCAACTCTGTATCTCGGACCGTTAATCAAATTGATATCCGAGTGAGAACACATCCGAACCATTTCATGTTGTCGCAATATTTTTGTATACACCGAGTGAGACAGTACATCTGCGCGGCCTATCGTCCAAAATTATGCGCTTTTTGCTTTGTTTGAATGAGAAACAGACACTTAATACACTTCATATAAATCGGTTCAACGCAGTATGCATGATAGGTCCAACCGGCGTAAGAAAATGATTCTTGATTAACACCCGTAATTTATAATTGATATTAGTTAGTGCCCGTTGTGAATAGATCTTGGATTCCAGTCAGCTTTCTACTTGACGTGTTGTTGCACGTGCATACATTTCGGTGGACGATCCAGGCAGGTTTTAAATTGACGTAAATGTTCGGAATACATTTCGATCGACGTGAGAATCCGCTGACACCCTGAGAAGCCTCCGTTGTCGGAACATTCCCCTAATAGGCGGGTTGGTTACCTTTGAATAAACCACGAGCATGTCGTCATTTTCAAGTCGATCGTTGAAAATAAGGACAATATTGCCGCGTGGTTCACAAAAAGCTGTAACAAAACATCTCTAACTTGGCCTCATGCTAGGTTCTGAACCTACTACTGATTTTTCAGCTTTCACGTAAGCATCGGAGGGATTACTTACTATCCCGCTGCCTGAATTTTGGTGTATCTCCGAATTCCTTGAAATATATCACGTCATGCCCCGAAAAAGTGGTTATTCTCCCTAATGCTCAAACTGGCGCTTCGCTATTCTCATCAAAAATTTGAAACAGCAATCGTGTTCGGTCCCTGATGCTTTTGAACTAGCAGAGCACGGATGCATGTTGCCTGAAAAAGTTGTGGTGTTCAACTTTAGAATAAATAAGTTAAACAACATATTCCGAGGGGTACGCTATGTAATTGATTCCTCGGATGTTGACAGGGTTATCGTTGTTTTGTCAGTGAGTTTCCTCGGCTCGCAACTTTTGTTTCGCTTTTGCTGAAGGGCGGGATTGAAGATAACGGCTGTTCTAATGGTAACCTAGATCAACCAATTATGCGAATCTAAGGGGTGCATTCGATCCGGATGTTGGCATCGGAGGTGTTGTTTCTCTATACCTTTTGTATTTCGAGCTGTTCGAGTATCAAACGGTCTCAACGGTGCTGACAGACCCCTGTACTGTTCAAACCTAGTGACGTCTGGATCATCACGCAGCTCAGATTCCTCATCCTGTGGAAGCACCGGGGGAGACGATTGTGAGCCGTTCCTCGGCCATACCTCGATTCCCATGAAACCTTGGTTGTTTTCCTTGCTATTACACTTGCGCGTCTATTTTTCATCCCTCTCCCACTTAAGTCTTAATGGGTCGTGCTCTACTGACACCAACGCGCTTAAGCCTTGCTCACGTCCATCGCATGATGCTGGAATAGAATGCGTAAGCTCCACCACTAGCGGCTGCATGAGACACCAGTCGAGCATTATCGATCGATATACGCACCAATGTCTATCAGGTTCACACCCGTTTTGCTCAACACTTGCAGATTATATTCCATCTCTGTGATACCACGACAGAAGCACCTTCAAGTATTGAACTATCAGAATGACCATTTTGGCCGTATATCTGGAACCGAATGAAATATCTTTATCAAATCAATTGCAATTGAAATAATGTAACGAACGCTGTCGGAATATACCAACCATTTTAGTATAGTTATGGAATTCGAAATTAAAATGTTTGCAAATGCGTTTTCTTGAGTATGGACTGTAAATTCGTTAAACTTTTTCGCCCAATTGATGTGGCCCCATTAGGCAAGTTTTACGATGGCAAAATCGCCGTGGTCATTTAATATGTGAATAAGTATTAGGACATTATTTGAGGAAATTTTAATTAGGGAAAAACGATAATATCCGGGCAATGCCACTGTTGTGATTTACCGCTCACATTCGTGTAGTTTGAGGTAGTGATTGGCGGATTTATACAATATTCAAAATGGAAAGGACATCCCGGAGTAGTAGTTTCCAAAGGTGATTCGGCGGGTATATCGCAAGATTGCTACCCACTCGGCCACCGGGCAGCTGGTCATACCGTTTTTCATTTTCCATTTACACGATCTAGCACGCTTGCATTCTGCCCGTGAGGTCCCGGGTTCGATCCCCAGTTGGGTCGATGGATTCGCACTTCTGATGAGAACCAACCAGGTCTAAACAGCTGTCCAGTGCTTCCTAGCTTTTCAATTCACGCTTCAGTTGCAATATACACGACGAATTTCACCTTTGAAATTGAATCAAATCCTTCATTACTCACATTCATTTAGCTTTGTAACAGCAGAAGTTGCGAAACGTTTGGCCACGGAAGGCATTAGCATACTATGTATTCAATGCCCTCGACAGTTTGGTGAAACTTTGTGGCTGCCGGTTTTAAGGAGCCGGAATAAGTAATGTACGCGCTGGAAACGGATTGATATAAACGGCCACAATGAAAATTTCATCCTGGTAGGATTGAATAAGTTAGATCCCTTCTGGCATGGTATGAGGAAGGAATGAAATCTTAATCTATGGGCATTGTTTCGCAACGTTGACTCCCTAGCATCATTTTACTGGGATTAGTTTTCACCGACGATTCGTTTTCGGAGCAAAAATGGTTCTTCGTGGGTTACTCAATTTTCCATTTTTCTCGAAATGTTTCGCTGTATTTTTGTACCTCTATAGTAGCGAAGATAAAAAAGCGGGAACTAGGCATGATAGCGCAATGATGCTTAACCGAAAAGAACCTTGTATACCGGTACTTCTAGTCAGAAAAGTAAGCAATTATCCCAGTTGTCAATCAAACATTGGTCCATTCTTCGTTATCCAGTCGGTGTCGACTTGGTTCGTTTCTTAGCTTCCCAGCATTCACCTGATTCTATGTACTTGGAAGGAGTAGAATGCCGCAAAAATGAGTTCAACACGAGTCCATATAGTCAAAATAATAAGTCGCATGTAAGCTCGGTAAGGTAGGTATTTTATGGAGCTAAACGATGCTGACTAGTCTCGCCTCTAAAAGTTTGAGGCAGTGAAACTGATTGTCCGGTAGATGAAAATTCATCGATCATCACTGCCCAGGACTACCTGTATGTACGTGTTCGAATAATTGGTGGTTGTGTCATTAGATCGGATAGCAGTGCGCACGCACGTTGACACTACTTCCAGATAGCCAATATACGAGGCGAAGATCCTGACCAATCTTGTACGTGCAGTCTGATCGTCTGAATGTTGCAGAGCCAACAAACGGACTTTATCAACACCGATTGAATGGCAAACAAGGACCAATGTGTGATTAGCACAAGTGATATCTATTTCACTGTTGTTCTGAATGGAACTAACTGTATCCGAAGCTGAACTTCGCTCTGTCACACTGCCATTCAGTGGTGCTTCGTTCCGTAATCGCTTTCAATAATTATTCCGACTAATACAACGAATAATGTATGTCCCATAAGGTGTAGTATATATGTCCTGTGCAATCGTGGAGTACAATTTTTACCCTTTGGGTGGTTTGATTGCGATATTTTTCTCCCTTTATAAAACTCTTATGTTAGTACGATTAATATTGTAATTACACGTGTGTGTTGAAAATACTAAACGTGGTTCGATCAGTTGCTAGTCTATTAACTCTAGAGCCCCGTAAACGGAGTAGCTAACTGATCACATAAAGTTAACCGACAAGTTTTTATCAATGATGGGCATAATTTAGCAATTATTTAACAGGCACGAAATGTGGAGTCCAGATAAACAAACTGAATATGGTCACCGGTGGTGCTGGCTTGGAGGCCGTCCTTTACAGACTCTTGACGACCAAAGCAAGCAAAGACCCAGAGCAAGTAAGATCCCTTTTGGTGCAACCAAGAGTGCTCTGACAGTGCAGAAGTGACTGCTGATTGGAAACCAATCATCTTTCCTCATATATGTTATTTATTTTATTTCATCTCTCAACAAAATAACTCCCATATTCACGTTTTTTCCTCCATCTCAGCCTTCTAAATTCGGTTAGCTGAGGCACTTAATCTACATTGTATCGCATAATTTGCGACCGGGAGTCACGCCGTAATCCAATCACGTGTAGAGCGTTTTAACGCACTTCAAACACTCATCCACCAATTACG